GCACACACAACAGTACTTTCATCCACTTACAGCTGAACACAGATGGACTACGTGGAATTTTTGTTTGTCCTGCTAGTCATGTAGTTAACTTAATTTGTGGCTGACCTACATGGCCAAAAGTATGTGGACACCTGACCATCACCCTTATATGAGCTTGTTGGACATCCCATTCAAAGTGTTCTGCACCACTCCAGCCGACACTTGGCATTGCGCATAGTGGTCTTAGGCTTGTGTACAGCTGCTCAGCCATTAACCCATTTCATGAAGCTCTTCACACAGTTCTTGTGCTGGTGTTGCTTCCAGAGGCAGTTTGGAACTCTGTAATGAGTGAGGGTACAGAGGACAGGCAATTTTTAAGTACAATTGCTTCAGCACTTCGCAGCACTGCTCTGAGAGTTTGTGTTGTCTACACTTCATGGCTGAACTGTTGTTGCTATAGTCACTTCCTTTTCACAATAATAGTACTAACAGTTGACCAGGGCAGATCTAACATGGCAGAAATTTAACAAACTGACTTGTGGCAAAAGTGGCATGCTATGACAGCACCGTATTTAAAGTCACTGAGCTCCCTTAGTATGACCAATTCTACTGCTAGTATTTGTCTATGGAGATATGGCTATATGCTTGATGTTACATGTTAGCAATGAGTGTGGCTGAAACATCTGAAGTCAATAATAATGAATTATTTTTATTTATTTATTTTTTTAGAGGATAACAAATTACACGAAAGCAAAGCTAGCTCAGCATCAGGTTTCAAGCCCATCAGATCTGTGAAAAGCCACACCACTGGTCAGCCTAGTCTTCCCTCTTCTTCAGTCTCACTGGACCAAACTTTTGGTCATACAGCCGCTTTCTGCTTACATAAAATAGACCCACCATTTAATCTTATGCTGAGATCTGACAAACTAGCGCCTATTTAATTCTATCATTCTATGGGGAGGAATTCTTGCAAAGAAGTTTTCTGATTGGTTAATATAACTGGATAACGTTTAAACTTATAGTTGCTGTAGATACAGAGCACAGAAGAGTCAGCTTTAGGTCAAGTCATATTTAAGGTTAAATGTCTGTTATGTTCCATTTTATACATTTTTTTAAAACCATTATTTACTGCTAGTCTTGTCAGGGTCTTTTGGTACATATTTTATATGTTTTTGAGCATCTTCAGGAGTATAAAGTGTCCTCCATAAAAGTAAAACGTGAAGGGAAAAACAGTTACACCTTTAAGCAGACGTACAGTGCACATCACATTTTTCTGAAAAGCAGTTTAAGCAACAAGACAAATGAGCCTCATAGATGAAGTCCTTTACATGTGAGCATGAAATGAAATATTACAGACATTAAATTTTGAATTTTGCATTAGGGATCCACTGATACCACTTTTTCCTGCTCCTTAAGTATCAGCCAATACTGAGCCCCTCAGTAACAACCTGGACTAACATTAACTTATTAATTCTAATAATTCTAAAACTAGTATATCACCCACTATCATGGCCTTCCCAAGAAATACTGGCGTTACAGATTTTGCCATGAGCATTTTTACTGTTGCTTGTCAACCCACACTACGGATGTGTTGTTAGGTTCCGTCATCTGGTGCACGTGTGCACGTCAGAAATAGCTCTGTGGTATCGGTATCTCCATCACCAATACTGACACTGTGTTTAAGGTGTTGGTGCAACCCTGTTCTTTATAATTAAATGGTTACGATGTAAACAAAGTCGCTCAGAGTGGTTTGAGGTAAAATCTTCTATTCTAGAAAAACGTAGAGATAGAATTGTTTACTGTGGTGGTGATTGGATGCCTCTCCAACTGACCTCACCGAAAGGTTACAAATACGCAGCCAGATGCCCAACATTGTTTTACAATAGTTTTGAGAAAAGACTGTGGCCTAAACCACATTTTTAAAAAATACATTCATGGTAGACATTTGTATGCAAGAAAAGCATAATAAATCCAGATTTATCAGTATTTTACCATTATCAACATTACATATAAAAAACCCTGGTTCCCATCACCACCACTGCAAAGATAACTTTATTGTTGTTCATGTTCAACAATTCACTATTTCAAATCAACCACTCTGAATGACTTTGTTTACATCTCAGTGACCAATTCATGGAGTAATTTTGAAAATTACTCTAATTACTAAACTGACTGGACATTGATTAACGCTTGGTCAAAAAACCTGGTTTAATTGAGGCTGGTAGTCAGTCTTTAACATGAGCACTTAAGGACATGGAGCACATCTACGCCGTTCAAACTCCCTCTTCACCAAAGTGGACAGAGCCTAACTATCAGTACCACACGAAGCAAGCCCACATCAGTGGTTTTACCTCAGGGACAGTCAATGACATGTCATCACACTCTTCATCATGTCAAATAGAGCTAGGCTGTCCAGCCTGAGCACATTTCACACATTCCTCTAACTTTAAAGGAGAGCGCTGACCTCAAAGCTGGCCTTGTCTCCCTCAAATTTGACCCTGGCTCAACATTGTCAAGAATAAAAGACTAACCAACCAGCAGCCACACCAGCTCATGCGGGCCTTTTATTCACTTTGAAGTGCAGGAGGGAAAAAATATAAAAGAAAACATGGCTTTTTTGGGCTTTTTTGTGGGTTTTTTCTGGTATTCCTTGGTCTCCTTTCGCCTCCAGCCTTCAACGGTAGCTCACTGTCCAGGAGACTATTCAACATCTGAGCCTTTGAGAAAAGGGGGTGGAAAACAAGCATATAACACCATGCCATACAGAGCTATGGTGAATATAGAGACTGCTCTGCTGCAAAGAGGATGAAAAAAACAAATGCAAAAGAAATACACCCTATAATAATAATAGGTATATTATTATTATAGGTAATAATAATAATAATAATAATAATCATCATCATCATAACAATACATTATTATATATCATTAACAGGCCTTGCTAATAGGCCTGAACCGGCCAGAATCACTTACCCTGTGCATTCTCAAGGCCTGCGCTTTTTAGATTTAAACAGTTTAACCAAGGAAGCATGTCCACAGCACAAAGCAAGACCATGTTATAGGGTATTAAAGCAGCTTTATTAAGTTTTTACCCAAAGCGCTGTGTATATATGGCAAGTCTATTGCTGCACAGCGATGACTGCATTTCCCCAGAGTTATTACTGTGCTTTACAGCTTTTTCTTATCCTCCATCCAGTTTTACCACATTGTTTGAATTCCTACATCAGAATTCCATACTTGGTAATTAGCTGCTTCCATCCCAAGACATATTGTATCATTATCATATCAGTGGAGGAGGGCCAGGGGTGCTTTATCCTGCTCGTGGGATAGTTAAAATCCTTAAAATCAGCCTCACGAGTTCCCTCCCAACTGATGTGGACAAATTTCACCAAATATAGTAAACATGGAAAGAGACAGTCACGTGGCTAACAATTAGCACAACCCAAGTCTACCGTAATTGCACACTGAACAACACATATCCTTCAAAAACTTTTATTTTTAATGTAGATGCACACATTGCCACCCAAGTCAGGGACTTCCTGCACTGTCATTCATCTCCTGTCCATGACTGCATTAACTTAAATGAAGAACCAGGCCACTAAAAGCCAAAATTGGTGATGATTTGAAATTTATCCTGAGAAGATTAAGCTGAATCGAGTTTGTTATTCGAATTTTCAGCTGCACAGAATGGATAGCTCAAAAGTAGCTGGTGAATAGGAGGCATATTTCAGCCTCACACCTGACTTTACAGGGGACCAAATACACTCATTTTCAATTTTCATAATTTAATTTTTGGGGTCTTCTAGTATAGATTTACATGCTTCAGTGTCACAAAAACATCTCATACTGTACATCACTATTCAACCTCTGTCTAAAATGCTCTGTTAGAGCTCCTGTCTTTAAGCCCTAACTCTTGATGAGCTCAGTATGCTCCGATTCGCCAACCACTTAGCGGCATCCTGCTACAAGCTCCACCCCTATGCCATAACCCCTAGTTATTCTTACGATGCCATCGGTTCTGCTGTTTCAGTTTGAGCCAGAGCCCGATCCTGAAAGTCGGACAGAACAAGTTGGTAGACATAATTTATCTTCGCAAGCTAGACTGGAGCAGAGCGTTTTAGAGTGGTAAGTTTTTACTTTGTAGCTCTCACGTGCCAAGTTTGCCAGTTGGCAAACAATAAGGACTGTGTTGCACGACTGCATCATCTTGTGCAGGGCTGGAATTCCAATGAGGCATTTCAGGCAGCTAAAGCAAAAGTGGTTTCTGTGAGAGAGTTACTCCCTCGGGCTTTGTAACTTTGCACATGCCTTCTGCCCAATGACCACTGGGATAGGCACCCCCCGCGACCCAGAAGGATAAGCGGCTTAGAAAATGTGTGTTGATTTGTACAATTTTTTTTTCCCATTCTTCCATCATTTCTTAGAAACCTGCTGATTTTACATAGACTAGAAAGACTTGTGGTTCTTTACCCAAAGCATGTAGTCATTTCAAACAGATAACACTCATCTAACCCTGCCATCTGATGGAAACCTACTTATTCCACAACTTTTCACATCTAGCAAATGTGAGAGATTCATCTTTTTACCCAAAGCACATTACTGCATTTCATACTGATAAAACTGCAACCCCTTCTTTCTTTCTTTTCATGGCATAAAAAACTTCTAACTACACTGTATGTAGGCAACACTTCTCGACCAGTCCCTTCTTTCGTTCCAGTTGTTCACCTCTCATGACCAAATTTCAGAGACAGCACACGTTTACTACAATTCTTTCTTTCTTCACTGCATATAACTCCTTAAATTTCATCAAGATGTCCAACTCTCACATTCTTATTGGCAATGCTTTTTAAAATGAGCTCTGGCTTGCCAAATTAGCTTGTACACAAATGTTGCTTTCTACTTTTCCTAATTGTTCATTTGTTTGGTGGAAACAGATATATCAAACATGTTAATCATTATCTGAGAAACAGTACAGCACTTACAGTTCCATCTAGAGAGGTTATACAAAAAAATGGCACCCATTGGCTACATCCTTCTTTTATTGGAATTGAATAAATGAGATGTGTTTCAAACATAAAACCAGTTACCTAAAATCAATTGCAAATTACTGAAAAAGATCAAAAGATCATATATGAATGCCATAACTGACAAAACAGAAAAGAGGAGTTTGCATAAAACATGAGTATGTGCATACATGTGGACAGGCCACTGAAGCAGCGATTAGTAAGTAACTGACATTCAAATTAAGATCTAAGGGAAAAACAAAGATAAGTGACACTACCACAATGAAAGAAGACCATATTTACATATAAATACAAAAAGAATGAGAAGTTATAGGATTCACATACTATTTATATGGTCAGTTAATTTTTACGAATAAATATGCTTGATGTGTGGACCACCATTCCTTTGTCCTTTAAACACAAAAAAAGGAAAACAGATAATAAACAAACTTTTAGAAGATGCTGAACTTTAGCAATGGGTTTACTACAGATTTTTCCACTGCTTTTCTAATGGTAACCCACTTACATTAAAAGTACTCAGTTGTATAGCTTTATAAAAGCTGGACACTTAAGTTGCAGACAGGCTTCCCCATAAAAATGTTAAGAAATACTTTCATTGGTTAATAATTAAATGGAAAAAAACTATCCCTCTTAAAACAGCTTGAAAATGTCAGTTATCAACATCTCTTTATCTGTTAATTGAATGTGCCCAAACATTTGACACTGGTGACACACAGAGAAACACAAATTACAAGAGTAATCCTTCATTTGGCAAGTCAGAGAGCAGTGATCTGAACTTGTAAATTAAACACGCGCGAGGCGAGAACGGGTGCTGTACCATTGTGCAGAGGTTAATTGGTGGGTGCAGGGAAGCATGCTGAACGGCACAGGTCAGATCAGGTGCGTAGTAGACCGGCTAAAAGTGTGGTACTTCCTCTCAAAAGCAGAGGACAGGTTGACCATTGATGGGGAATGAACAGCCTAGAGAGAGAGAGAGAAGAGAGAGAGAAAGAGAAAGAGAGAGAGAGAGAGAGAGAGAGAGAGAGAGAGAGAGAGAGAGAGAGAGAGAGAGGAACCTCATGGTTATTCAGGATTGGCATTTCTGGACGTATGAAATGCACAGCAGTTCTGACATCAGATATCAGGAGCCACATTGTGAAGCTAAAAGAATCACATTTCTAGGAGACATTGTTAAGTTTTCCTCACTACTCATGTCCAAGTACTCTTTAACTTTGAGTGTCATTCGGTATGGCTGGAGAAGAAAGTGACCATTTCAATATAGAGATTTCCTTTCTAGTGAGTAAAATCGTTCAAGCAATTGAGGGAGTGCTTTACACACTTAAATGGAAGAGGTTTAGCCATTTTGCCCCCTGGTACTGGTTGGTTTTAATGGGCTTTATTAAAAACTTAGTTTATTATAAACTTAGGTTTAATTATATGTTAGCATAGAGAGTGGAAGAGAGAGGGACAAAGGCACATCAGGAAACTGATTGCTTCACAAGGCTGCTCTGTTTATTTTAAAAATAAATATATAAAATACATATTTGACCTTCGTTAAGTGTGTGCTCAGTTGCAACAAGAGTCTCAACTAAAGGGAATTCACACGCGCACACACACACACACACAGTTTCTAATAGTGCATTCTTCCTTTGTAATCTTGCATGGAAATAGGAGGGTGAAAGAGAGGTTAGCAGGGACATGAACCCAATTTATTCCCCTTGCTCTTACCCTGTCTGTTGCTATAACCACCAGCCAGAAACCTTTATGCATACACACACATACACTGTTCTCAGACCAGCCTAATGAGAACTAAGCTGGCCCTGCACTTCCATTGCTGGCCTCTGGACCCACAGAGATGACCAATGGCAAATCAAACCAGCTTCAAAAAGCCTAGTTTTTTCAAATACGTGAATGGCTGGGGCTACCAGTGAAGTCCTAATATTTATCACACATACACTTCAGTACACAGATGCCATTTTATTGGCTTAAATGAGAGGGAAAATGATTAAATCACCGTCATCACACAGTTTATGACTTTGGAAGCTGTATATCACGCTATTGCAAGCCAGTTCACAACCATATGAAAAATGAAAGGGATTGAGGAGGTGCACACCTCCCCCCTTGCCCATTTTCTTCTGTTGCCAACCTGCCACCACATTGTATGAGCATCCAACCTTTCATTATGCAGCACAGGACAACAAAAGCTATATAAACTGTGCTAAGATATGAGATAAGCTAGCCCAGCCCCAGTTTTAACACCTTAACAACCACCTACCAAAACTCTCTACTTGTGGGGAAAATTTTTGCACCAAAGACCAGCTATGGAGTAGTGAGTTAGTACGTCAGAATGCAGATATGGAATTTCTGGCCCAATAAATAGAACCAATAGTACAAAATACATCTATAATAACCAATAATTTTACTTTTCTGCATTTAAAATATTTTTTTCTCCATAATCTGTAAATACGAAATGCAGTGAACTAAGTTATTGGTTATAGTTATCGTCCATTATTCCAATATCGGACCGATATCAACAATTACATTTTTAATTTTATCAGTGAATGATATATCAGTTGCATATATATCGTCCACCCCTATTAGTAAGTGCCACCACAATTCCCCAAGTTTTAGCATTAGTAAGTGAGAGAGCCAGATGTGCTGTGCTCACGTTATACTGCCACCTAGAGGAGGGTCTCTCTGCGGGGGGTGCTGGGGGCCCTGTGTTGGTCTGGGGGAACTAGCAGCTCCCGGCATGGCCTCACAGGCTGCAGCTTCACCTGGGAGGCCTGCTGGCCAATGGTGGACGCTTTAGGCTGGGTCTCTGGAGGGGTGGGCTGGCTACTGTTCTCTGGGCAGCACGGGGTGCGCACACACATGGGCACCCTGGGCCGAGGAGCATTGTCCAGCGAGTTGGAGCGCTGCACTACTGCATTCTTACCGCAGCCACTCAGACTGAATGTGGAGGCGGAGCGAGACATCTGCACTCATGCATGAACACATACATACACACACACAGAAGAGAACATCAGCCCATGTTTGCACCCAACTTACTATCGGGCTAACATCTATGTCACATGTCTTTTTTTCACATATAAAAGAAGCGTTTGCATGTTTTAAATCCAGCAAGCTGAAGATGTAAGGCCTGCTCAAATATTTAGCATTATTAAATAGAACGAAACAGAGGCAAAATATCTTGAAGGAGATCTTTTCAATTTCTCTCTAAAAGAATGCAGACCAACGAAAGCCAGGCTGACAATAGAGAATAAATGGCTACACTGAGAAAACAAAGCAAATGAAAAAAGTCACATGGAACAAGTGACAACAGCACCATTAATTTCAGACCAGCTTCAGTCTCCTAGCAGTCTTATTAAAAAGGTATACTTTACCATGTAAGGTGGTACCTACGATGGAATTCTTCTTCTGGTAAAAGCTTGGCAGCAGTATATTTGTGAAACAACACAAAATCATATATGTGTCAGGCTCCAGTTTTTGCGGGCCAAAACAATGCAGACTTGACCACACTGCCTCATTAAACACACCTGATTCAGCTCATCAGCTAATCAGCAAGGCTTTCATGAACTGAATTCAGAGCGTCAGGTGAGGGTAAACACTAATCTCTGCAACACTTTGGCCTAGAACGTCCCCAGTTTGACAACTAGGGATACATTGATAATTTTTTTTCCACCCACACATCGAGCACAAGTACACGGTTTTTAGTATTCTCCAATATGGAGTCCGATACCATGCTCAATTACCTACTGAGGATTAAACAGTTAAGGTACATTGCACTCTTTCACACTAACAGTTAAATCATCACAATCTAGCTGATTTTAAATGAAGTGCATTAGCTAACTATGCTACATTAGTTACCTTGGATCAAGTAGCACTGCAGTGGAGAAGTGCGAATTTTGTTACTCGTCAGAAAAACACTTTCGTACAGCTGTAACTTAAGTATGTTTCATAGTTTTGAACCCCGATGTGTCTCAACAATAGTCTCTGTAGTGACAGCAGGAATCATATCAGAGGAGCTCACGTGTGGAGCTTTACGTCTGAAGTCTTTTGTTTGGCTGGGTGAGCTGAGCTGAATGTATTCTAAAGCAGGACATACACTGTGTGAGTTTAGAAATCTTGTTCTTTGGAGACTCACACTGTACATTTGAATAGTCCATTGTGTACAGACAAAGCCTATGATTTATATACACTCACTGTACAAAAAAAATGCGGTCCATGCTATGTGAAACATCACCTTTAGCCAGTCTCTACAGACAATTCTGTTCATAAACAATTTCAAATAAAGCCATTTCATTTAAAAGATACAGTCTCTCTAAAGCCTATTTTACCAGAAAAAAAAACCCTGTACTAACATTTACACCTCTGAATTCTATTCAGTAAACGGAGTAAAGTTGCATATATAGACTTTGGTTGGCAAGGTCAACTCATTTGCCTGCATTTTCTAGCCTTCGTGTCTCCACCTGTTTTGGGGAAGCAGTTGCGGCTGTTTAAAACGATAAAATCACAGTGTATTCCTGGTGAGCAGAGCTTCCTTTCACTGCGTTTGTTCATTAGCACGGCAGTGTACACTTGGCTTACGTCACACCTTATCAGTGGGTATCGGAATGATGGCATTGGTGAATTTTTATGAGTAACAAGAGCGTCTCTAATTACAATCCACAGCTGGGTTATAAAGTGCCTCCTAAAAAACAAAAAGAAGAAAGTGAACTCTCTACCATTCTATTTGATGCTGTTGTAAAATTTATATAGTGTCAATTGTTAAAAGGACCGCAAGGATAGAATAAAATCATATATAAAATATTTAGAGATTCTATAAAAATGGTTGGAATAATTACCAGAGATTCACTTATTTACCAGCTCACGCTGTTTTCTGCCATTCTAAATTTGAGATAAACTGCCCAACAAAGAAGCTTAATGCATGCACTGTCTACCACCTTGTACGATACCTTGTATATACACACACACACACACGGCGAGCTGGCTCGCTCCATAGCAGGAATTGTAGCGATAGTTTTGCTAACCCATAACCTAGCTAACATTAGTTACATTACTTGCCGAGTGGTTGTTCGCTCTAACATTTTATCATGGTATTTGTCTGTACATTTGCAAAGGGTTTTACGGCCACTCAGATCTAAAAAAAAAAAAATCAAGTATATCAAATTCTGTTCTAGTTTAAATTTTCTTTTTTGTCCATTTTCATTTCTGAGTAATGGCTTCTTGACAGCTACACATTATTTCAGACCCATGGCATTAAGCTGTCTTCTCAGAGTCTAAGGATGGACAGGTTTTTTTTTTTTTTAAGATCTGAAGCAAGAGTGCAGTGATTGTCTCTTATCTCTCAAAGATGAAAGAAGTTCTGTTTATCTGATGGTGATGGTTTTGGTGTCTACAGGTTTTTTTTTCTTGTACCTTCTCTTTTTTTGAAAATCCCATTTCAGTTATTTCCCTTCGATTTTTTCCCTCCTTTTGCAAGTGTATCATTTTATATCTAATCTCCACAGAACCATCACCTTTAGCCACCTTAGATGCACATGAGAAAAGAAATATGATCTGTTTAGGCAGCTACTTGTGTGAATGTTAGTGTCTTTGATGGGTAACAAAGTGGTACCTTCAGTAACAACTTCTGTTGGGAGGACACAGCTGATAAGTGGCAGTGGTTTAACACCACAAGTGAAGAGTGGACAAATAAAATACTGATGAATTTGATGTACTTCAGGCTTCCGTGTTATTTTTCTGCTGGGTATTTCCTGACAAAAAATAACTTCAACTTAATGGACACTTTGACTGGAAATTAAATACAAGAAAAGCATAGTATTGTACATAACCTTTTCATCTATCTACAACCCCAATTCCAAAAAAGTTAGGACGCTGTGTAAAGTGTAAATAAAAACAGAAGGCAATGATTTGCAAATCTTATCGACCCATATTTTATTCACAATAGAACATAGAACACATCAGATGTTGAAAGT